ATCTAAATAATTCTGCCTCGCGGTTCGGCATGCGCTTCACACCTGCAAAGTGTAAAGTGCTACTGCAAGATTGGGTGGGCTCGAACCCTAACCTCGTGCTTGCGGATGAACCGATTGAGGTAGTGGACAAATTTGTTTACCTGGGCAGCTGTATCACTCCCGGTGGTCTCACGAAAGAGGAAATTTCCATCCGGATTGGGAAGGCTAGAGCAGCTTTTGCGAACCTATGTCACCTGTAGCGTAGGCGTGACATCAGCCTCTCTGTGAATTGTCGAGTTTACAGTGCTGCGGTGCGCGCCATACTACTATATGGATCGGAAACCTGGTCGCTGCGCGCTGAGGACGTCAAAAATCTTCCAGCGTTTGACCATCGATGTTTTGGGAGCATTGCCCGAATCTGGTGGGAACAACGGATCAGCAATTCCGAAGTACGTCGAATGGTATTCGGGAGAAATAACTCACCCTCGATAGATGAACTGATCACACTGCATAGGTTGCGCCGGCTTGGCCACGTGCTGCGTATGCCAGTCGACCGACTTCCTCGAAGGACTCTTTTCGCACAACCATGTGAAGGTTGGAAGAGAGCCAGAGGCGGCCAAACAATTACTTGGCAGCGAAGTATGAAGGCCGTTACCAGCAAACTCATTTGCGCTGGTCACTGCCGTCTTCCTGGATGGGGACCCGGAGACGGGCCATATACAAGGGTTAGAGACATTGTCAGACATGGCGCAGTCGTGCCCTCAATGGCGCTCGTACATCCAAGCTATTGCCTTCAATGCATAGCTCCCTTCCCAATCCCCCCACTTGACAGCCCACTGATAGTGCTGGATTTATGCACTAATTTACCATCTCCCGCCTGCAACGCGCAGCTACCTCCCCTCAAATAATCGGTGAACGAAACTGCGGTAGCTATGCAACCCTTACGACGAGTGCGCGATTATTAATGCTGACAATGATGATGATAATGATGATGATGACGATGTATCACGATTCTGAAAACAAGCGCGCGGACCACACACTGTTGCATTCCTCGGCTTCACTTAACAAAGTTGCACAAGTGAGGTTAGCTTGATTGATGAAATATCTGCAAGCAAAATGCTCGGCTCAGCAGATAAACCGACAACCGCATGGTTGATACGTTTGCCATCGTCCAGTATCCCAATGGCACTTCAGTTGAGAACATCAGTGATTGGATGCCGGCTGGTGCAGTAGGTCGCACTATTTGGATGAGGACAGGCTGACAGGAGACCCGAACGTCAAAGTGTTCGACGAAACAAGTGAGTACAAGATGTACCACGCTGATGGGCACTGCGTAATTTGGACTGCTGTTGATGGAACTGCTGAGATTGCACGCAGATTACATGATGCTAAGCAATACGCTCGTGCATGTAGTGTGCTTCGCCGAGTTTTCGCGAGTACGCCCCGTTAGAATAGGTTTGCACAACGAGCGATACAGAACACAGAACTGTTCTGAAACCTCGTTGCAGCCTGCTATTCCTAGCCAGTTTTATTATCACAAATAGGCGTCTTTTACACGCTGACTGACGGAACAACACGTATATGACATTTTAAAACGAGGAGCAAAAGGCGGTTTGAAGATACTTATGCGGGGTTCCTTTAGTCGAAGGGGATGTTCGCACTATCCAGGCCGAACGTGGTCTTACTGAATAGCATGTACATGGCTACAAGATGATAAGGTATAGCATATGATTTTCACAGGGTATCTTGAAGCTATCAGCTGGACGATATAACCATGGATTCACCGGATCGCTCGAATTGGACTATGAATATTCCACAACAATGCCGAAGGCGCAAGGCGATAAAAGCCTTGGGCTTGTTTTCCTCCAGAAATAATGCAAATTACGGACGAGATTGTCGGCACCAATTAGCTTTACCTGCAACGCTCACGAAAGTCCTGCCCTTGCACCGGCAAAAGAATAGGGTGCACGATTCGGATACCATTGTTACAACTGGTGATGAAAGTTCCTGTGGAAAAACACATTTCCTCTGAAGCTACTTCAATCGAAAACCGAATTCGACCGAGTGCTGGATCTTTTGTTCTCCTGTTTATCCGTAACTCCCTTACTGCCTAGGGTATCAGAAAAACATCCGAACAATTCAAAAACAAAATCTAGCACTCAGTGAACTAGGAAAAGTTTGAGCATCAAATTCGTGTTCTAACGTTTAGTAGTAGGTTGAATTCGACCTAGGGTAAAATCAAGGTAGGAAGTCCTTGTCGCAACGCCAAGCTTTAACAGATTCTGATCACTCACCTACTGTCAATTTAACTAAGATATCATCGCCAGTTAAAGACTAATCCGTATGATTTCTAACAAGCAAAACTGAAATGACCGCCAGGAAGGTGTTTTTTGTAGACGAAAAACTGAACGAAACTGACTGGAATTTGTAAATTGCCGAATTGTAAACAAAGTTGTCCAAAATCAACCCAAAAAGGTTGACTATTACGACAGAAAGATTGCGGCTGAATGATGCGATATTTTGGAATCAGTACACTCGAAATTACACGTGTATGGGCTCCAATAACAGTTTGATATCGTTCCTCCGGCAGAATAATCACCCCTGCAAAATACTTTTAATCAGTCTAGACAATTTACGTGGCATACAGTACTTTTCACTGACTTCGCTGAACCCGCTCAGTGTTATAAAATATGACTTAACGCTGCATGATGCTAATAAGGACAATCCACACATCTGGACTCGTGAGAAGCTTACTAACTTTCGTACAACCTGAGAATGCACCGAACAGAGCGTGTATAAGGTGGTTGTACTGACTCTTCGATTGTGAAGGTTTACCAGCCAAAAGGTCTGGCACGGAAACGACGGGCCAGCACAGAAACCAACTAATGAGCCTGCGGGTTCGATGGGGCTCGCTACACACACGGAATTCGACAGACGAACACAGTACCAATGAAGTTTGAAAACTAAGCATGGGTTGCGCACAGCATAGACACTTACCTGGTGCGCAAAAGCAACGGGAGTGATGTCTGCGTAATTTGGATCACCCGTAATTCAAACGATACAGATTTTGAGAAGTTAGAAGTTCGCAATGCCTCATATGTCCTGGATAAGGAACGCATCGTGTGTGAAATGCTATTTAGAATAAATAATCTCTCCACATTTTCTCTGCTCCCGTCTGAGGTGGTAAAATTCTTAGCAAACACTACCACAGTGGTTACTTACTGATAAGTAATAATTTCGACATGAGCTCTGAGAAAGTTCTAGGCAATGGGCTGCATCAAAAAACCACGAGGATCACTGATGCGCAAAGCCACGACGCCAGTGTTCTTCATAACGGTAACTGTGATGTCCACAGTCGGAAAATAATATAGTACAGCCCAATAAAGCAGCACGACCTATCAGTAAAGCCTACTCACTGGGCAAATCAGCATATCACCAAAAGACCGTTCTTCAAGGATCCTAGGTCCTGGAAGACATAGTACAGGAATTGAGGTTCTCAGTCACTCAAGTGGTCAGAAAGAAAATTGGCTGTTTAAGGACTTGAAACGTTTGAACACCAGCTTTAGTTGTATGCGCCTTAAGATCAGTAACAAATCCATTTTATGTAGCCATGTCTCTCGCTTGGAGGGGTTCTTTGGAGATGCATTGTCTGGGTTGATCTCATCCGTGTTATACACATCAGCAGGTAGGACGTCCAGTACAGTGAATCGCAGCCAAGTTTTCCTGACATTTATAATGTCAGCGGATATTCCAGTCGCTTCCTTGGAGAGCAGTTGATCTCGGATGATATAGGGTGGGGGGGGGGGCTTAGTCTTGAAAATCGTGGAAACTTGTGTTTACTCTCAGTCCTTCAACCCAACTTTACTCCTACATAGGTGTGACGGTAAGCGCAGTTTGTCGCATTGGGAAAGAGGAACTGTAACTCTGTTCGTAAGCTAAAATCTACAAATCAGGGACAACAGGTCCACAGTACGTACTGTTTTGTGGTTCATGGTAAAGCCACCGTGCCGTGAATTCCAGAAAACAGCTGTATATTATACTGTCTCCCTGGTCAATCTCTGATCCGTGTACTACACGATGAACATTCACCAATTTGCACATCCAAATAACTTCTCTTGAAAACAAAGGTGCATACCATTGTCTGTTGGATCACATTAGAGTCTGTAGCAGAACCAGCATTTATTGATGTCCAGTGCACTGCCCGCATGCTAGGGGCATGGATACATGAGACAGATACTGAAGACTAAAGTGAACTGTTTGAAGATGAATTCCATTCATTCTGGTCCCCATTTAGGCTCCACGAGTTGTACAAGATTATCGCTTTTAAAGCACCACTCCTACCGCTGGTAGCCATGACTCGACAACGATGGCGTGCTTGGGCACAACAGTGGAGAAAAAAGTAATGCTTGAATAGCAATAAAATCTGCATAGGTTAGCAGTCTCTTCAGAAATCGGAAAGTGGTTCATTCTGATTTTAAAGAGCTATGTGGGTAACTTTACTGGCCTCGCGAATGGAACGACATGAACGCATCGCGTAATGATTCTGGAATTTGAAAAACATTTGTCGCTGACTTCAAACCCAGTGAAGTCGTGCATACATTCTGCAATCACCCTGTCCTTTGCTTGGGATGCCGTGATTACTACGTTGTTTTCGCGTGGCCTCGATGAACAATTCCAATATCACTATTCAGATCTTCGTACAAATTGTTTTCTGGGGATACACATATACAGTCGTTGCAAACACCAAAATCATACTGTCGAGGCAATTACTCCGAACTGGGTTGTTGTTAACACTGTGAGTCAAAACAATAACGAGGTTTTTGCCTGGGCCCATTAGCCCCACAACGCTCTTAGCTGCAGTGGAGTAAAACTTTTTGCGCCAAAATGTTATACTTTGTTGCCTATGTGCTCAAACCAAAAACCATTCTAATCTACTTTCATATTTTTGCAGCTCACCAAATTTCATTGTCCACTGAAGCAATCATATCTATGGCGAAAAAGTCTGGTGGAATAATCTCCCAGCATCGCTGAGACACCGGGATGCCTAAATGGGGCATAAAAGTGTACTGTGAACTCAATCGACCAATTGCCTTAGTCCATCAGCCACGTCATAGCTTTAGAAAATTCCATTCCATTATGCGAATACTGAGCGCTGTTTTTGCCTCTCCTTTGTTTCGAACACGTTCAAGCCGCTAAAATGAATCTACCCGTCGGTTGGGAGGATTCTGTAAGTACAACCACACAAACGTCAGTGATCTCGGCAACCAGACATATTGAGGACGAAATGTGTCTTTTTTATGCCTGTTTTGTATTTGGACCACTATTAAAAACTCACCCTCCCAGAGGTTTTGCTATCCAGGGAATCTATTGTCCTCACAAACTCCTGTGGTATGCCCTGCTGAGCAAGCGTGTTATGAGGAACAGACAGGTGAAGAGTCAAATGAGCATTGGAAATCCAGAAACGCCTATACGTACAGCGTTGTTCTGGCACCTGACAGAGTATGAAGCTTTGGTCAACGCAATTTCTAACAGGCCGGAATCCCAATTGTTGCTTTCGCCTCAATACATCACGTGTCAGCATAAGGCATTGAATGACAAGTCTCGTCAGCGTAGCTGTTTTCAACAACCCGGTCCCTGTTGTATATAGCGGGTAGGGTATTCGGGTGATAACACCATGTGGCGGCAGATTTGGCCTGACAGTATTTTTAATTGTAGGAGTCATGGTTGTACCAGGAATTCCACTATCACGGTGCCCAAAGAAAAAAAAGCGTTCAGCTGTAGCACCCTTCCGGTGCCTAGCTGCCATGCCACCCGAAGGAAGCACGAAGGCTGGGATACTGCTGACCTTCCGGTCAGTAAATTCGCGCTCTAACCACTTGGGCCATCTCGCCCCAAGGTGCCCAAACCTAGATAGGAAAATGATTAGAGTTCCCAATCAATGCCTTTGGCTGGAAAGTCCGACCGTGAGGTCCACATTGACGTAAGGTCTTGCTTCCCCCCAGAACATCACTCACGTCCTACTTCGTTTGCTGGCTCTAGTGCTCCTCGTACTTGTGTTTTAATTTAATTTCATATTAAACATAAGCTAATCGGAGCCAGCCAGCAAATGTATTGAGAGTTCAAGTTTGTCGGTGTTTATTGGTGTCACTTGAACAAAATACGGTCAGTGAAAAGTAGGGTCGAGAAAATATTCAGTCATTGCGTAAAACTAACTTCAAACCACTTCAGGTTGCGGTTTACATATACCGAATGGTTGGTTCGAGTGGGTCAACTACATAGCTCTCGGGTGCCTGTACAGAAATGAAACCTTTGGCTCTGTATTCGAAACCATTGTAAATGGTATAGTGTTTTGGGTGCTGGCAAGCCACACACAGTCACGACGTTACCCCTGAGTTGTATTTCACGGCTTGATGACGGAATTAGAGCTGAGTCATCCATCCCATTTAACTGCTGTTGGATTACTACGTTGAGTATGTCTATCATTCATCCGTTCATACAAGTCGCCATTTCAAATATTCATCAACAGTAGGGTAGATACACTCAACAAGCAAAAAACGAACCTTCTAACCCAGTCAATTATACACTATCGGTAGCCACTACAGAGAAAGTGGGTTATGAAATACGTTGAACATTAGTCACCCAAGTGCCGAGAAAGAGGTTTTCAACGGTGTAGGATTTTTGTTGAGTTCACATTGTTGGGGAGCGGGAGAAAAACACTGTAATTGGTATTCACCACGTGGCAAGAGCATTTCTTGCCACATTAGTTGCATGAATTTTGTTGACAGGTTAGACATGAAGATTCGTCATCAGTTTGTCTCGTTGGAACGCAAGCACCATCATTTTAGGCAGAAAAAAGTGCCAAAACTGGTTGTTTGCTGCTCACAGCAGATTACTAAGAAGAATGAACAATACACTGCACAGAAAAGGGATCAGTTGATAGCCCCCTAAACTTCCAAACACTAATGAAATTCTCACGTTTGGACGGATAACCTAGCATTGGTGAATGCTGTACAAAACTATGCGGCCACACGGAGAAGCAGTGCGGTACCGGAGCAATCGTTCATCAAAACTGCTCCAAAGCATCACCATCACCGACAGCATGACGTTATGTTCAACAGTGAAGCTTCGCTGCCGACTCCAAAGCAACGACACCTAGTATACCGACAGTATACCTTTCACACGATAGCTAGTGTCCATGGATTACCCTTCAACAATCATTTATATGAATATGGATTCGCTTACGTCGTGCGGCGAAAATGCTGAGTAACGATCACCAACGGCTTGCAATCGACCCAGTACATGTGAGGCGCATCGCAGGCAGTATGCGTAGAGTTTATTAAACAAGTGGGGAAAAGTTACCCATATATCGATACGTGGGGGCGGTAAACAAGAAGCGGCATAAAACCTGGCGAGCACACTTCGAACCTGAATTTCGGACAGGTTACAAAACATGTCGTAATCAACAAGCCACGAACAACACGCAAACAGGCGGGAGATATCGACCGACGCCCACAAAATGTCAATGCCCTATTCATTTTACTCGTGAAAACTTTGAAGTCCATACGTGACATTGACATAACTGTTCGTCACGCGGACAAAGGCTATTACCAGGAAAAAATGTCAGCATTGTGGCAAGATGAAGCCGGCAGATGAAGCTGACAACTTGCCGGTACATACGACTGTTAGCCTTTTAAAGCACTAGTATATACGAACCTGGTGAAAGTGCAACGTAAACAGGTCATCATGGTTTAATTTATCTACTGCCTATTAAGGGTGGTCGCTCGCTTTTGCTGCAGTTGTATCACAAATCTCGCTTGGAGAGTCCTCCTCCTGCCCTAGAGTGAATATCCTGATGAGTCCACATCGAACGAAGACAACTGAATTAGAATGTTGCTTTTGTTAAGACTTATGAGAAGTGCATATCCTCGGCCTTACCGGGATTCTAATTCCAGTTATTCAATAGGTGAAGCAAGCGAGCTATCGCATGCAGCGAATACCGAATGTACGTTGGAAAAGCCGAGTGAGCTGACGCTTGAGCGACATGTGCAGTTACCCTAAAGCCCCAAACAACGAACTAGTGGAAGCAGCTGGATAAGACTGGGCATCAAAGGTAGCGTGGAATGGAATTTCACACCGACGTTCCTTCCTCTTCCTAGAAGACCGATTAAATTTGATCGTTACCGGGACGATCGTAGTCGATAAAAAGCTCAGAGGAACCGAATAAAAGCGGTTCTTGAAAAAGGACAGTTGCATTTTAAAGTCCATCGGTCTATTAAGTATGACCAGGTTCATGTCGATTCTATTGTTTGGTTATCACCACTGGTAACTCTGATGTCTAGGTTTGGGCACCGTATCAGTATCCAACCTCGCTTCTGACCAACACAACACCATATCTGGCGTCTCCTAGTGTCCCCATCAGAACTAGTAAGTAAAAACAAGGAAGCATTGATGCATACCTCCTTTCTGTGCAGTCTTTTTTCGAGCGGAAATCTACAATCAAATGAACGGAAGCAGAGGAAACGCAACACACAAGATCAAACGGCCAAATGTGGGGAAAGGGACAAAACTACTGGAAAAAAGTATTCGGTGAAGCAAGTGAAGGCAGAAGAATCAGACAACGCAACATAAATTCCAAAAGGATAAATTGAACTACGTGCAGGCCAATTTCCACACGGCCAAACATTACAATCACGTCAGGTCAAATGTCAATGCAAGCAGATGTGAGGGAAACAGACACCCGACCCAACATCGATGTCTACTCTTACGGTGATGAAACATTTACAAGCCAAACTCGGCCAACCGATCCACTGCCACTCCAACAATAGTTGAAAAACGCAACCGAGTACCAGTATCTCTAACAAGGCTGCCTAAGAAAGAGGTTTAGACTTTTCGTGTACGTCGTGGACTAGCACTGAGCCTCTTCTCCATCCCACTTTCATTTTCTTTGCATCACGAAGTTTAACAAAAAAACTAGTCGTGGTTGCACTGCCGTAAGGGACAAGTGTTATTACCGGGGACGATATTGTGTTCTTGAAGTGTGTTGGAAGAGTACGAAGGGCTTGCTGGATAAGACGGAAATCAGTAATAGAACGAAGGTAGGGATACACCAAGTTCCTAAAATTCCCGCCAAACTTAACTAATTCCATAGCCGACTACTGTTTGGCAAGTTCAGTTAAACAGCTCTAAACTATACACAAAGATAAGTTCGTCCCAGTTTCCGGTTTCTGGCGAGGAAGATGTAACTAGGTATTGGAGGCCGTAACACAATAAATTAGTCGACGTTGAATCGGTCCGATTTGAAGACGGGAGAAACTGACAGCTACGCGTTGAGGGCAATAGGTTTGATATAGAAGCACCACTAAAAGCACGATTGATCAGTATCTACCATTATGATTGATCACTGATGAATCGATTCGCGAGGTTCCCACTAGGGGAGGCTACAGTTGTTAACCGGATTGACGCTGGTTGACACTTCTATGCTTCACTGCCAGACAAAAACTGCCCATCTCTCGGTCGTTTTCTCTCAGCACAGAACTGGGAAAGAAGAGCTCTGGAAGGTAGCTGACCTTTTCACATACGAGTTACACCTCCTGGCCAGTGTAGCCTATAAAGCGTGAGTGGTCCGTCCACCGTGGGAAGGTTCTTGCTTCCGAAAACCACCTGGTGCACCACAAAACCGCTGACTCCATGTTCCAACCAAACCTAGAAAGCATTTGGCAACAACGGTGGGTAAATAGTGAATGTTCTCGTTCATCTTCTGTGCGGGGAGGTCACGCCTGTTGTCCAACAGGCAGTATGGATCACACCTTTAGATTGATACAGATAAATTGACGTCAAGTCGGGGTCATAGGTGTCGAAAGTTGTTTTGGCTTTGCGAATCGAGAAGCAATCTCCTATTTAATCAATCTCCCGGAACTTATGCAACCGAGTTTTGGGTTGCGGCAGCATTAAGAAGTTCGCAGGTGTGGAGCACAAATCAAACCGTGCGGTCATTGGAAGTGGATTGCACCTCTAAAATATATGAAGCAAGGAGAGCCAAGACGTCTGGGTACTCAATGTTTGTGGGCGAACGCCTAAGATAACTTTAAATCCGAATTTCCTGTCACTCGATATAAACGAATTCTCGACGACAAGAGACACCTACGAGCAGTGACACCTCAAAAAAGTATCGTAACCCGGATTCTGTGTACTTAAGAGACCCAAGCGACACAAGTAAGAGGACACTAAAAACGGGATGTCATAGGACAGGAAAAACTAAATGTTGGAGGTTCTTCTCTAAACAAAGCAACCGTAAACAAAATCTTTTACGTTTTAAAATCTCCAAGCCTGTCATCCGACACTGACTGCGCCTAATAAGCAGACGAATTGGCAGCTAAGACATGATAAGTAAAAATGGTGAAGTGTTAGAGGCACGACTGATAACTGCGTTTGGTAATGAGGGTCTAAGACCTAAACTGTTGGCTAAAACGAAATCGGGTGAATAAATTCGTAGGAAAAATGGGGAGCACTATCATTTTCATATCCACTGAAGAACAGAGAGGGGAGAACTCACGTTGCATCATCATGCTCAACACCACCGTAGTCCAAGAATATGTTTGACTCGTCAAGAGCGCGTTCAATGAGTCTTGCAGCGCATCGAAGAATNAATCTTCCGATCGCATCACGTTCATCCGATCCTCCTCCGTCAGAGTACGAACTGATAATAGGGCATAAGGGATTCAAAATAAATTCATTTTGATTTGACGGAAACCACATGACGTCTTGGGAACGACGAGACAGAAAAATACTTCCTAGGGAGGTTGGTTGCTGTTTCAACTTGCACGGCAAAGCAAACACCCCTGGAGTATTCGGCCTTACTCCGTTCGTTTAATCCTTGTTATAGACCTTATACGGTTCGCACCCACCTCTTTGGCAACGGGCAAGTCATTAGGTAAGCTGTTTCAATTCACCGGCTGCACGAAATGACCGGTAATTGTATGCTCATGAGGAAAACAACCTAGAACCGGTGACCAAAGGGCAACATGTCCGATTCTTTTGTAACCCCTTGCTGATTCGAAACAGTGATGAAAACACGTGTGATTCAGCTGTTCGGGAATCGGTCACAACTTAGCTGCACAATATACAGTAAATTCTGAGCCCATGACTTGGTGATTAAATCAAGAAGCACATTTAAAAAGAAACCGGCTACACAAACTGGCTGACATAGGAATGCTGATAATAAGCATCCGGCTCTGAGAATCACTGCTAGTACTGGAAGATGCAGAACACTTATTTCTACATAGACACAGACATACAGACTACCCTCCCCAACTAATTCCTCACTATGGTCACGTGATAGTTGGTCTGAAGTCATTAGGTCTTTGGATTACCACCCAAACCTGGAAAAACAACATGGAGCAGAATTTCTTCCCAATGAAAACCAGAATGCGAAATATGTGCAATAGACCGGGGTCGCCCATTCGACACGTTGACAGTAGGAAAACAAGGACCATCTTCTGAAGTAAAAGTTCACAACCTCAGTAATTTTTCGAAAAATTTGATGATACCAAAATAAATGAACTCAAGCAGATAAAAAAGCTTCAAGAAGACTAGCAATTCCAGCTGAAAGTTTTACTAACTCAACAACACATTGTGCGTTTTCGATTATCTCACTCTGCAGATGTGTGATAACAAACATGCAGTGTTCTATTAGGACTTTAAGCGTGGAATCTGATGGCCAAATCCTCATACTTGCTGCTAATCAGCTCTGCAGGCATCCCCTCCTCCTGGAATACCTAACATGTCCATTCACATTTAGCCCAGCAATTTCACTACTGCAAGATTCACAGTGATGCTTTGAGAACGACACGATTTACAGCTAAGTGGATATTCTCCACTAGCTCCGTAGTATTACAGAATGAGATAGTCAAGCGTGCGTGCAAGTTCGAAAAGTGGCTATTCAGAATCAGAGCCACTCTTACATTAATGTTTGTGGATATTTTTTTCATGTTAGCGATATCCACATATGAATCGGGGCCTGGATGTCACTTACAACTTTACGTGCGAGTCCTGATCACAAAGCTAGTTTAATGTGCCGTCAATCCATCAATCAATTCACCAGCTATAAACCGTGTACTATAGGTACACAGTTGCTACAGCTTCGATTACCGGAGAGTGGGAGAGCGTGGAACATACAGCCAAGGTCTGAGAATTAAAGGGATAGTCAGCCATTAAGCTTGTTGAACTCGAGCCCGTTTAATCTAGGAGCTATGACTTTAAAGCAGTTGCGCCATACCCAGATATAGCTTTGGACTTCATCCCACTTCCTACAAACACTCACACGGTGATGTATTATGGCTCGAAAATGAGCTGACATTATTTCCCCTAATGAAGAGAAAGAATGGTATTACCGGACGGCTGAATGAGGAGGAATGGGGATTGCGCCCGTTATTTGGTAGATGCATGCATTTGCCAGGAAATGGCACGAGTGCAGTTAGAAGGCAATGGATCAACTGAAGGCTTGTATAGGCTGTGAAGTTGGAATAGAAATTTCCACAAGGATGTATTTGAAATATTGACACTTCCCTCAATAGCTCCTCCCAGTCAGTGCTTCCAAACTATAAAAATATTAAATTCGTAGAAGCAAGTAGCGTACAAGTCCTCATAAAACAACCGGTGATAAATTTGATTTATTTCTGGATTTATTCACATTAAGTTCCTTCAATTTATCAAAATTAACTGTTAGAATTGAAATATGTGGGATTTACACACTACATACTGCAGGAAAAGCCATGTGCGGATTGTTTTCGGTCCTATCAACGTTCCGATGAGAAGGCCGTTACTCAGCTCTATCGTAAACGAAAAGAAACCAACAAAGCAGGCTGTTATTAGATACGACCTCCTTTGCAACGTGTCATGCAATCTTTCACTCATAAAAATTGTTCAAATTTCCAATCGGATGAATGACGATGTTCCGGCACAAGGTGACGGGGATGAAGTACACAGGAAAAGATTTTGGATCAGGCCGCCTATATTCTTGCACCAACTAAGTATGTAACTAATAGAAAATCAAAGTCCTTCCTGAGGTGACTATAGGCCTCAAATTGACTTATACATGTGAGCGACATGAACCTACGGAATTCACCCAAAGCCTATACATTTCGCGCCAACATTTAGTTCCAACAGCTGATTAGTAAGCCTTCCGTTGATTATAATGAACTTCCACACTATGACGCCCTAAATGCGTAACGCTCCTCAACACTGCTTTTCGAATCATTACTTCGCCTTATTTTGTTCGAAGAACTACGGTGACCGGCATCACCACTTGAATTTTTAAGGAAACGGACACGTCCAGAAACCTTCAACATTTATGACAACCGTGACATCATTGGGTAGAGTCTACAACGCATCCAGCAGTCATCATCATCGACAGCATGACATCAGTGTTCAACACCAATGCCTCGCTGTCGTACAACCATGGTTTAGTTGGAAGCCTTATTGTAAAGAAAAGAGTAAAGGCGGACGGGGAAGGGACTTAGTGCTAGCTTACCACAACCATTCCGATATAGTGGTCCCTCAAAAGGGAGCACCCGTTGGGCCTGGTCGTCCTCAGATTAATCATTGTGAAAAGGGTAGATTCGCTGAGAAGCGATTGTTAACATACCGATCACTTGTCACTCCTTTGTATTCGAACGCAACGGGATAAACTTTCACCTTAAGCTTGGAGTCTGCTAAATGAGAAGTGATAGGTCTGAACAGTGAACAGAACTTTCTGCCGAAGCACTCAAACGATATGGTACAAAAATTGCCGCATTGAGTGGGACAAGACTAGCAAGACGGGAAACGCTTTGAAGTTGTTCATAACCGTAACTTTATCCGTGAGATTGATGGTTATGTGTGGGCTGAGATGCTGTCCAGGCGAGAGGTGGACAGTATATCACCTGACAACAAAGTATGGAAACAATAACCAGTAGACTTAGTCGGGTCCACAACCCCCGCCTCCCTGGATGGGGACTCCGAGACTTAAATTGATGATTGATGGCACTGGCGGAAATGGTCCAATAACGCATTCAGTGGCGTCCGTGCATCAGAGCTGCCGTTTTCAATGCGTAGCTGCCCTATTCCCCAGAACATGCAATCGCCTGAAAGGCTTGGCCGCATATCCCGCACTCCTCCACTTTCCGGTGATCGAAACCGTGGTAGCTGGAACCAATGTGCTTATGGCAAATTGATTTATTGCTAGGTGTCCACTAGACCAATCACATTTGACAGTTAAATCAGTATCGGATGCTAGAAAACCACAAGTTGCGTTGTCGCACTACCATCGCAACTACTTTGACGGCCGGGTGATTACAGCATATAAACTTCTCCCGATTCCGGAGACGACGAATCCGGAGAAAAAGGCAACAAATATTTGTTCAACTCATTCAGGCAAATAATAGTGCAAATAAATTGCTCACCTGGGTCGATGAAATTAAGATTACTTTCATTATGAGGTGTTAACCTGTAGCCCAATTCAAACCGCTTTGCAGCCGCACTCGTGGGATATCCACGGCACAATAATAGTCCCGGTCAGTTGTCAAGCATACTCATGGTAATAATTTACATGATGCAAGTTTTATCATACCGTATGACTCAATAACCAAGTAACACCGTGCGCTCACATCGTTCCGCAGTTTTCCATATTTTCCGCGAAGTGTTCTGTCATATTTAGTGGAAGCACAAATCGTCAAACTCGTTCAACAAAGCGAATGAAAACAAAGACGGCATACTGTCTTGCGACTACCTGTTTTTTAGGGTGATGATACATAGTGCTACTTCTAGTAGTTTAGTAGAACACCTATTAAGCATACTTTCCCCATAGCGGCTAATTTCCACCAGCTGAATGGAGAACTCAATGAAAATACGACTTGAAGCGCGTGCTCTGCAAAAGAGAGCGCCTCTAAAAGGATCGCAGTTCCAGTCGGTCCAGAGAGTGAGCGCCCCTGAGAAGGAACACTGAGTCCTACTGAATGTAGAGGCGGCCTTCACTGAAAATGTCTGGGAAATGAGGACAGCTCGTGTTCCTCATGTACGGGAGCGCCATGATTGGGTTTGATAGGTCACAACCGTAGCTCTAATGACACGGACAAGCCATGATGGTGCCGTAGGTTCACTTCTTTAAGAACGTGAGCCGTGAATTCTGCTTTATCGCTTTCGTGATGGAGGTCAAAGCCTAAAGGAAACCGGGTAAACCAAAGTGTTATCAACGATTAGCTGCCATGCGAACATGCATCAGCAACCTGGCTAGTAACGCTCACGAAAAGCGAGAAGCTACCAATTCCTTGTTTTTCGGTAGTTCGAAACCATGAACGTGGTAACAGAATGTGACTTGAACATCTATGTGCTGGACAAGGGTTAAAAAGTTTCAGCAACTAGAACTAAGCAAACCGGAACACTTTGGCCTTACTGGATCGACCACGGGTTGATTGTGCATTATGGAAACTCAAACCAAAAAATCCAAAAAGGCACATAAGTGACACACCTAAATTACAAACTTACTTTTAACTGGTTCCGAAAAGTCTACCCCAAACTCCGTAGGGGTTTTCGCCGGTAAGTCACCAGCTGTGCTGGAAAGCCGTCGCTTCCCCGTGACTAGGACAGAAGGATCGATATCAACTGCGGTGCTGTCATCAAAAGGCATCACTGAAAAGAGAAATGTCAATGTTATCTATGTTGGGAGTCGCCGGATGGTGGCGTTACTTCAGTAACATCTTACATGACTGTCCCGCCGACATGCACTTCTCTACAACTACCATAAAGGAATTTGACCAAACAAAATCTGGAGTGTGCAGTGGACCACGGAAAACTGTTTCTTGTCAATTCGGAATGAAGATTGAACAGGAGGTGCGCTGATTTCGGCTAATATTTCCGAATGTTAACACATTTTCTCGGTTTTCTTTCCTGAGTCAAGCCGCACTGAATTAATAATGCACAGACAAGTTGAAATGTCCCACTTTAACAACTATGCATCATCACTAACAGAGACAGCAACACCCGTGTTGACACTGATGCTTCAAAGGGAAAGAAAGAGAACGTGTGTGAGGGAGGGGACCTGGTGGTAGTTCACCGCAAGCATTATGAGGTCCCAACACTTTCACTAACACAACGTGGAAAAAGTTGACAGCATGGATGTCATGGACATCGATTAACCACCATTGCTTGCAGTAGCTCCAGATAAGCGAATTGGGAGTAATGAGGATCCCATCCTGGGTACCAAACTGCACCAACAACATTTAAACTCTGTGTAATCACTTTCACATCCTTCTGAACTGTGGCGATAAGCCGTTTCGAGGAGTAAACATGAGATTTAGAAAGATTCCAAATGGAGGACAGATAAGGCTTTATGTGAAAATGCAAGGTTTAACGATGTGTTGGCTATAAAACCAGATCAACTGAATGTGGTGGTCGTTTTCAAAAAAGCGGAGCATACATGTTATGTTGTACCGTTGAGGAATGTTAGGAAGCGCTCCAGAAGAAAACAGTGAAACCAAGGAACTCGTCAAAAATTTGGATCAAAACCAGTATTTTATGCATCCTGAGAAGTTCTTAAGGTGCGCGGTGCATGCCAGAAAAGCTTTCTAACCTACCGAGGGAGAATTCATCATCCCATTCAAGATTAGCGATGAACCGCGGGGACCCTAGAATTTCACGTGGAGAATCTGCGGGAAAGACTGATGAGAAAGTAATCAGATCAACGTACCTCCATGGAGAACACCGGGAACTACGAGGAAGAAAAAAAGTTATTTTCTTACACATCTTAATAACTCACGATGCTGAGAAACCAAGGGTTCCCGTGTTTGTGTCTGTTTTGAGTAGGTAATCGGATCCTTCGGAGGGATGTTGAATTCTTGAACCTTAGAAAGTCCTAGTTTTGGACGTGGGTGTGGACTTGCGACCCGTGCACTATGGGGGATGGACAAAGATTCGAAGAACAAGGAAGGACTCACTGCCTCAGCAAATCAGATGTACTTTTGGACTGTGGTACGTGATCTCTAGTAGCGTTCGGACTGGACTCAGGAATGGATATTCCCAGAGTCTTTAGTAGTTCGTCTGTATCTATACGCACACTATTGCCTCCAACATCGTTCCCTGATGTGCCATGATTGTAAGATCCGTTGGTAAGGACATCAGTTTTTCTACTCTTCTGTTCACGAAGGGCAGCGAGCTTTGCCTTTTTTCGCTCTAGTTCCTGTTTCCTATCAACTGAAGACATTCGAGCAACAACGCTGAAATGGAAGGAAAGCAAAAAGTCTCTATATGAAGTGAAATTCTCTTTAAAAAATACCAGCAGATACAAGTGTTGGCAACAACAATCGACCAAAGCGCCACAATTCGTAATACTGTGCGAGTGGTCCTTATTACGGGAGGTTTGTTTCAGAGCATCAATAAGCTCGGTTATTGGTTTGCTCGCTGAGATAAGGAGTTGTAACCGACCAAGCCTGGATCAGCAAGGACCACGTCACAAATATATCCAGAGTTAGCAAGGGCATTCGTTGACGGTCAAGCACAGTGACTAACTTTTTCACAAGGCCATTGGCATAAATTGTCTGAAACAACCGGATGTGGACATTCGCATCCATAGAATGGTGTTGGCTGCCCACTCAAGCTTGGAACTACCGTCTAATATCTGATTAGCGCTACTGAGTGACGACGTCCTTCAGTCTCGAAATGGTACCTCGGGTCCTTACGGACATTAAGCCATTCATGATTTCCCGCGTATTTCTCTAATGTCAACCACCTGCACACCCTCCCCTATGATCCTATGTAATTTCCACCAGACGACTGAACACCTAGTCATGTGAAGATTAAAGTTACCAGATTTCGGCATCACACAAGACTTTACTGTAGTAAATTTGAGGATCAGAGCGAAACGAACTAATGCACATTACTTAATTGTGTGACTCCAATTCAGTTCCATTTTTTCAACTTATCAGCTACAGACTGTGTGCCATAGTCACGTTGGTTCCAGCTGCTACATGTTCGAACACCGGAAAACGGGAAAGTGGAACGTAAAAGCAAGCCCTGGAGGCGGAAGCATGTTCAGTTTGTTCATAAACTGGGTAGGTACGCAATGAAGGTGATAGATTTGATGCATGAGCACGATGACTGCGCAATTGGGCCATTTCCGCCGATGTCATTAACCACTGGTGATTTAAGTCCCAGGGCCACCATCCAGGGAGGCGGCAGTTGCCTATCCGACTAAGTTTACTGGTTAGTGTTTTCGTACTTCATTGTCACCTCTCGGTCGCTTCCACTCAGCACAGGGCTGGGCGAAGAGAGCTCTGCGGGGCAGACGGTCTTCTGGTACATGCCCTAACTAGCGCAACCTATGAAGTGTGAGTAATTCATCTATTGCGGGAGAGTTCCTACTTCCTAAGACAATCTGGCGTACTTCAGCATTACTAATCCGATGTTCCCACCAGATCTGACCGATGCTGCAGAGACACCGGTGATCAAACACTGACATCTTCCGTATGTTCTCTGCGCGTACGGACCACGTCTCTGAGCAACAAAGCAATTATGGACCGCACCACCGCGGTGCAAACTCTGCCCTTGACAGGAAAACTCACGTCACTTCGGTACCATAGGCGTCGGAGGTTGACGAAAGTTGCCCTGGCCTTTCCAATTCGAGAAATAATCTCATCTTCAGCCAGTCCACAGGGACTATACAACTACCCAGGTAAAGAAATCTATCCACCACGTCGATTGGCTCACCTGAAAGCATGAGGTGTGGGTTTGATCCCACTCAGTCTTGCGGCGGCACTTTACACTTTTCAGGTGTAAAGCGCATGCCAAACCATGCGGCAGAGTTATTTAGGTTCTCCAAAGACGTTTGCATTTGGGAAGGATCTCAACCAAGGACAGCAATATCGTCTACATAATCTGTGTCTGTAAGGGAATGTCCCGGGAGCATTTAGAATCCTGAGGCGTCATAGACAGGCACAGGAATTTCAAGCAGCACATCAATAACAAAGTTAAAGAGAAAAGGAGAAATAGGACAGCCTTGTCTTGCACCAATGGACGTGGTGAAGTCAAGCAAGAGCTTCTCCTATACTCGTACGCGCCCACAGGAGTTCGCATTCAGTGCCCCCATAAGAGAGCGAAATTTAGAGGGGACACCTTTGATCGCCAGGCACTGCCAAAGTTGCTGACGATCGACAGAATCAGAAGTAGCCTTCAAATCCAGAAAAACGACTAACTTCGGACGTCTGGAGTGGCGCTGTTCAAGAATTTGTCTCAAGGAGAAAACATGGTCGATGTATCCTCGACCAGGGTCAAACCCAGCTTGATTCTCACGAATCGGTCTCTCCCGATAATCCATCAACCTGCACAAAATAATGCCAGAGAGCACTTTAGATGTGACCAATACCAGGATGATGCCACGATGGTTTTCACATGACGCTCTTGCTCCTTTTTTAAAAACTGGGATGACGGTCGAGGAGCCTCATTCGGCTGATATTCTGTTGTCGTTCCAAATCTTCTGCAGTGTGGTTGTCAGATTGTTTATTAGAACCTCCCCTTCTTTGGAGAGGGTGGGGCGTACACTATCCGGGCCAGGTGCCTTGTTGCGCTTCAGGATTTCGGTTGCTGATGGTGGGTTGGTGTTATTGTTCTATTCGGGCCTGCTTGATTCTTCCAGCGCTTGTGTTGAAGGAGACCGGTTGAACTGTTCTTTGAAGTGCTCTGCCCACCGATGCTCCACCTTTTTCGCGCATTGTCTCGCTGACACCAGTCTTATTTTGACCCGTTGATCGGATCAGTTGAAACAGGGTACGGCTGTTGCCTGCAGCAAAAGCCTTCTCCAGCTCCTAGGCTTTTGGGATCAACCAGCGTTCTATCCCTCACGAAGAGACTGAACCTTACCGTGGTGTGACGGTTTGCGCACCTCAGCGATCCATTGAGCTATACTGGAGTGTCCCGCGACACTCACAGAGTCTCTCATACCAGGTTAGTCAATGGTTAGAGGTCTGACGAACACAGTGTCCTGGCCCTCCAGGTTGGGGGTTGGAACATGTGGCGACTTGTTCCGTAGAAATGGTAACGCATTTGCATTTCCCGCTAAACACCGCTGCCTTGCGGTTAGGCTTTTGAGCCAAAGGCTTTGGTTGAGGACCCTAATTGTCCTCCTGTCTAGGTGTGGGCGCCCTGGCAGTATCCCAGCCCACGTACAACCATGAATTGCACATACACAAATAAACTCATGCCACATCGGCCGTCGCGTGGTGTCATCAGCCGGGTCGCCTTACTTGCTGCATACAGCAGGGCGGGTAAGCGAAAACAGGCTACTGCTGACGCCTCCCTTCTTTCTCCTTCACATGCTTTTTCTTCCCCCCCCCC